TATTATGGGGAAATTCAATAGGAGCAAACAGAATATTAAAACTACAGAAAAGATGCCTTAGAACAGTCCTAAAAATTAGCAAAAAAGAAAGCTGCAGGGAGCTATTTAAAGAACACAAAATACAAACTGTATACAATCTTTATATTTTTGAATGCGTAAAATTCCTGATAAACAATCAAAACTTTTTTAATCACCAAAAAAGGTCCCACGAACACAATACAAGGCAAAAAGATAACTTAAAAACTGGTACACCACACTTCTCTTATTTGCAAAAAAATGTCACTTTCACAATAACAAAAATCTGGAACTGCCTGCCTTTAAGTTTTAGAAAGAAAAACAACAAATTAATTGAAAACCAACTAAAAAAATTCTTGGAAAAAAAATCATATTATGGCCTACAGGAATATTTTGATGATGAAACGAAAAACACACTCCTGTGACTAGCAAAGAGAGTGTCCATGTGTCTCCTCAGATTTTGTGTAAAACGGGGTAATTTTTCACTTTCATTTCATGTTGTTTGTTGTTCTTTACTTAGATATATGTTATATTAGTCCAAGAAACGGAGATCTGAAAAGAGGGGTTACCTCAACATAATTAGAAGTTGAAATTTTTTTGGGGGGATCAGTTCATTTTAATATGCTAAACAACATATTAAGTTTGCGACCTTGTACTTCCATAGGGTTTTCAGTTAGGGGTGGTTTTTAGGGGTAATTTGCGGTTTATGGAGAACGCTGCTCAAAGGGATGGTTCAATAGTAAAAAGTTTCAAATGAATGTTGTAGCTGAAGTTTTTTGCTATGAAAAACTCAGCGACAGCACCCCTCTATCTTCTATAGTTTTTTTTCTGCAGCTTCTTGAATAGTAGCATGTTTTTGTTCAAGGTCACTGAATCAACGTTTTGCCATTTTACGCGCATTTGTTGCAGCAGCGGCCGAATGCATAATCCGATTTCAATTTTTCAAACACCACATTATTTCTAATGAAATGCACTCTCCAATGCTTTTTTGTTCGAATTTTTTGCTTGAAAATTAAGCGAGCACGGACTTGTCTAATGTGCGAGGAAGTTGTAAATTGCATCGAAAACTACCCCTTTCTTGCATTCACTCTAATTTCTAAACGGGGCCAAATATTTGGTGACAGTTTTCGACAATCGGCAGCCCATTTATTCCTCTCATAATGCCCCAGCGGATTTTTTTTTTCGTTAATCACTTAATGACTTATTGGCCTGAAAACGTCGCGCGGGATTTTTCAAAAAGTAAAAAATAATTAAAATTGTCGCATAGCGCAGGAATTTGGTACGATGGCCTTATTTATTGTTCTTACGAATATACTGCAATTTTAATTGCTTCACATGATATAAAATTGCAGTATAATTATGAGAACAATAAATAAAGCCATCGTACCAAATTTCAGCGCTATGCGACAATTTTAATTTTTTTTTACTTTTTGAAAAATCGCGCGCGACGTTTTCAGGCCAATAAGTCATTAAGTGATTAACGAAAAAAAAATCCGCTGGGGCATTATGAGAGGAATAAATTGGCTGCCGATTGTCGAAAACTGTCACCAAATATTTGGCCCCGTTTAGAAATTAGAGTGAATGCAAGAAAGGGGCAGTTTTCGATGCAATTTACAACTTCCTCGCACATTAGACAAGTCCGTGCTCGCTTAATTTTCGAGCAAAAAATTCGAACAAAAAAGCATTGGAGAGTGCATTTCATTAGAAATAATGTGGTGTTTGAAAAATTGAAATCGGATTATGCATTCGGCCGCTGCTGCAACAAATGCGCGTAAAATGGCAAAACGTTGATTCAGTGACCTTGAACAAAAACATGCTGCTATTCAAGACGCTGCAGAAAAAAAACTATAGAAGATAGAGGGGTGCTGTCGCTGAGTTTTTTATAGCAAAAAGCTTCAGCTACAATATTAATTTGAAACTTTTTGCTATTGGACCATCCTTTTGAGCAGCGTTCTCCATAAACTGCAAATTAACCCTAAAAACCACCCCTAACTGAAAACCCTATGGAAGTACAAGGTCGCAAACTTAATATGTTATTAAGCACATGAAAATGAACCGATCCCCCCCAAAAAATGTTAACTTCTAATTATGTTGAGGTAATCTTCCTTTATTGCTTGGACTATATGTAGTATGTACGATTTTAGTTTTAATTTAGGTTTTTAATTTATTGTGAAAAAAAAAAAAATGACAAGTTCTACGCCACAAAGGCACATGTATTGTAAATACAACAGAACAAGTAATATATTCTATTTCTATTTCTGTTGTTAACGCCGGGTCCCGGGTCCGATAATTATGGCGGCCAATGCGGTGTTGCCAAACTGATAAAGGAAGAAGTTTATGAAGGAATTTAACACAAAACAAGGCACATTTCCTTAAAAACCAAGATTTTGTCGGAAGTGTCAATAACTAGCTGGATGTCAATAACTAGCATTTTACCTTATGTAATTACCAATGTAGATGTTCGTCTACAATTAAACCTAAATATTTGAGAGATGATACTTTTTCCAGTTTAATATTATTAATTTTCAAATCAATATCACTTACTACTTTATTTTTTTGTTTGAGAATTATAAAATTAGTTTTATCGATGTTTACTTTTAATTTGTTAGAGTACAGCCACCTGAGATATTTATCTAGATCCTCATTAATTGGAATTTCCAATTCTTTTTCATTTTCACCTGTATACACTAATAATGTATCATCGGCAAATGTATAATACTGGGCCTTGAGGCCAGCAATTTGCAAACTTAGAACATATAATGAATAAAGCAGGGGCCCAAGGACGGAACCCTGTGGCACCCCATAATTTGACACATCATTTAGTGCAAAGCTTGATAGGTGTCAAAGAGGAGACCACAAGCCCTTGCACCAATAAGCTGTCCTGCCACCCTTTTCAAGTTCTTACGAGGCAGGATCGACTTTTTAGATAGGGGACATCGAGACCTTCAATCTGATACCCTACTTAGGGCATAACTCGATGGGCGTAGTGTTACGTTTTTTTCAATTTGTTAATAGGGACATAAAGCGACTTGAAATAATTCGCCGGTATCGGTATCGGTATCCGTAACGCAACTAGATACGTTGACAAGCGCAAAGGCGGCTAAAGCTCTCCCTGTTCCGGTAAACGTAAACGGATCTCATAACCTAGAAATTTTTGTCTCAAAACTCCGGCGTTTTTATAATCTAACCTTAAAATTGTAATTTTTTTTTTGCGATAGAGAAGCACTTAACACACAAGAAACTCAAGAAAGTATAAACTAAACAACCCGGAAGAAAAATGAGGTTATATTCATTTAAAATTTGACACATGCGTCAGGAATGTCAAGATACGGATACCGTGAGAGGGCCGTAATGTTACGTTGTACGTACGGTATCTCGGTCTCCGTATCGCTTCTGCACATGCGTAGTACGATACCGATACGGATACCGAGCAAAAAATACGGAAGCTTTATGTCCCTATTAATTTATTAAAAGATATTTCCGGCAGCATTTGCTCTCAGGCAGGAATACAGGTTAATAGATGCACATAATACTATATATTGATAATAGTGTCGACACATAACTCGATCGGGGTAAGAAAAATGCGGTCGTCTCCCAGACTAATTTATTAATAATTAATACCCGAGTTAATACCCATCCGATAACAAAAAATTCAACAAATATCCAATAGTCTAGAATGACTGAAATTGGTATATGGAAAACATGTACAAAGCAAACAAATTATGATGTGATTAAATAAATCCTTCAAAATAAATTATTAGTATTAGCTTGTACATCAAATAGGTACCCAAGCTAGTTATTAATTTTAGCCTGTAATACTATGAGTTGTCTATATTTGAACAAAACTTTTCAATTTGGATTATCATCATGACGTATTGTATCACTGGAAATAACGTAGTACAACATTGCGTATTGCGTATAATTATTAATATGAATAATTTGCTTTTGGGTGTTTTGTGATATCATCATATAACGCAACAATAGGGTACTTGCATGGAAAATTAAATTGATTATTGTTTATTGCAAACTGTAGGAAATCGAAAAAAAATCGTTACTTTTTTTTCATTTCGCCCAAATATGATTATTTCGGAAGTTATACAAATATTAAGTTTTGTATATATAGATATACTGAGCATGTGCGACGTCATAAAGTATTATACCTGATGACGTCATAGGCATATTTCATAGCGTTGTATCTCCGTCAATTTTTGACTAAGAAGAAAAAGAAAAAACACGTGTTGACTTTTTTTTCATGGACTATCGAAATCAGCAATAAAAAAATTTGATGCAAGGGGCCTATTGATACTATTTGAAGGATTTTGAAATAAATAGTAGGTATCTCAAGCAAGGCATTTTGTATTCTCCTTGTCTTGGTATTTTCATTATCGCAAGATATAATTAATACGAAGGACAATAATTTTGACAAGAGGAAGCCATTAAGATAAGATAAAATTGCTCCTTTACAATAGTCATGATTATTTAGACTATTCCACATTTTTTTACAAGAAAAGAAAGGTTTTAAAATATCACTAAATTATCTTTAGCCATAAGAAAAAACATGTTTACTCATAAAACATAGACAAATAATATGTTTCTCATTATTGACTAATGCAAACCTAATGTACCAAATTAAAAATTCTAACGACTACGTAACATTAAATTAAGTAGAATAAGGATAAAAAGCATGATTGGCAAGTAGTTTTTTTACTTTCACTAATTTATGTGTATTAACAAATAACCTTGTCCTTGACTATTTTAATTATCTTTATTATTGAATTTTATGTAGTTTTCGCTGGTGTTATGGTATTTTATATATAATAGACAATAAAATGAACAATTTGGACTAATTTTATAAGCTACATTAGCTATAGTTTTGGTTTGAAAACAAAAAACGTGGAAATTGTCACCACACCTTGTATCCCTACCAAAACCGGCATTTCTCTCAAATATTGCGTTAACCCATATAAAGAAATGAATGTACTTACTTTATCTTTAATGTGGGTAACCATTTTGGGTATTATAAGTTTAAAAAACTGGGTAAAACACTTAAAACCAACGAGAGAAACCTCTCAAGAAAAACTCACGATATCAATGACAAACCCAGAGAAACCACTCAAACCTAACTGTCGACTGACACTGCCGCCAACGGCGCCAACTGATTGGAGTGGAGTAGTGGAGTGAATTCGATTCGCTCTTTCAGATTTGCGTCAGAATTCAAAAGGAGAAGGCATTGAATTTATTTGGGAACAAGTGTTTTGTGTTTTATCTTTAACTAATCGATAAGCTAGAAAAAGATAAATATTTGCAACGCATGCGGGTTATTACACGACAAAACATGATTCGCGGTATTCTGGAATATAACATATCCGATGATTCATTAATAAATAATTTTGTTTTTATCTCTTTACAATTATACGTGCTGAACAAAGACAGAGATGGCCAGAAAGGGCTTTTCAATTTTTGGAAAAAATAATTGGCATTACTTATCGGAAGAACAGCTGTTCGGAATTTCTAGTTACAAGAAATTTTCTTTTTTTTTCTTCCATTCCATTTGTTGTTGCAAAGTACAAAATGCATCAGTTTGCGTAAGTGATGAGTGACCCCAACACCGGACGATGATTCAGGGATTTCTCAAAATCAGAGTAATCACCAATCATCAAGTACGTCATCGAATGACTTTGCAGCTTTTCGCAAAATAGCAAAAAATTAAAAATTATACATTTTCATTTTTCAATTTTCAATCGAGCAGTTTTTTATGTATCATTTTATTCTAATTTTGATCAATCCCAAACGTGTTTCCAAACCCTGTTAACCAACCAAATAAAAATCCATATCTATATTCGTTTTTTTTTTGCATCTCCCGAGTCGAGTTTCGAGAGTATTTCCACCAAAATTCACAGAATTCACAATCAAGGTCATCAAGGATGTCTATTGTTCGATGTTCAGCGAGTTGGGAGGTCTGAGCCACGCCACAGCCGATTACATTTGGGAAATTTCCTATTCCTATGCAAGTTGTTTGTAATACTCTTGTCGGAGATTTGCACAGTTCTTTAAGCTTCGTACGTACCAAGAATGGTAAACTAACAGGATTGCTCATCCTCATAAGGCATACATTCGCCAATTCTCGAGTCGGCAGGGCCTGCGAGTGACGTCACCACTAGTAGCAGGGTTGCGTTCGAGAACCTTTGTTGGTGTGAAAATTATTTCAAGGAGTGGGGGTCCGACACACTTCGGCGTGCCAATCTTGCTCCGTATTCAAACGGTGACCGAGTGGTTTACTCACCAAGTTTATCTAAAATTAGCCAAATGAAACTTGTTCTTCCATATTAATATTTATATAAGCAAATAACAGTAATCAAATCACACGATTGATACAATAGTTGTATCAGTGGCGCACCCAAGGGGGGGGGGTTTGGGGGTTAAAACCCCCCCCCCTCCCCGAAATTTAGCACTTTTGCGATTTTGGTTAATAGGTACCTACAAACTTTCTATTTTACATAAAAAAATTATCCTATTTACGTTACGCAAAATTACTGAAATCTGGAATCGAAACCGAAACCAAGAACATGGAAATCTGGCAACCCGGAAAGGCATCGTACATCGCGGTCATGTAAAGGTGCATTTCCACCAAGCGCGCAAAACGATTGATTTGAAAAAATTTATTCGATTGGTGGAGACGGAATTTAAAATGTTTGCAACCATGTGGAAAACTCTCTTTCTTTTAAATACACATGATCAGTGTTGCCAACTCGGTAGAATTTATACTAGCTCTAGTGGATTTGAAAGTCGTCTAGTGGAATGGTTTTTAGTAAATTCTACTATAGTGGTAATTTTAATGGGAATGGGAATCTGATCCACGGTTTCTAGTGAATTTTTAGCTCAATGATTTTTAGTGGTACTTCGCTTCCATTAGTTCTCGATACTTTTTTTTTAAATTTCTAAATAACGTATTTGTATAGAATTCCTGTTAATTTACAGAAGGCAGCATATATTCAAGGATGATAATGATACACACCTACAGGATTGCTTATCGGCCTCGTTTTTGGTAATCGCCGCCATATTGATGTATCACCATTTCCGACGTCATAACTAAGTCGTCAGCTGTTTAAACAGCCTACGTCAAGGCGAGAAATAACATGCTGCCTGCGTCACAACTGGTATTTTGGTGTGGGGGGAAAAGGGGGATTTGTTACACACAGGCCTTATAAGGATAGGGGACAGGGATGTGCGTCTACACGTAGACTTTCATTGTCTACTTCACGTGTAGACAACGTGTCAACAATGTAAAATAATATAAATGACGTTTAATTCTAACCTCACACTTTCCTTTTTTTAATTTATTTTTATTTTATTATTGGTTTTTCTGATATTTTATAATCAGTGAATGCTTGTATCGAAGTGATAGTGATATTATAGCAACTTTAGATATTTTTTTTCGAATTTTTTAAAATAAGTTATTGTTTACGCCGCATGTAGACAATGTGTAGACAAATGCTCATGTAAACAATTCGAATTGTCTACACGTAGACAATCAATTGTTTACGTTGACATTGTCTACAGGCACATCACTGATAGGGGATAGGCCATCCTTAGTAGTGTGTATCATCCTTGGTTTTGTCATATCGTAGGTATGGCAATATTTTCAATGATGCTTTCATGTCATCTGTCAACACTGTCACTTTCAAACTTCCAGTCAAGCACACCGCAAACCTGGCTTTCATGCTTTTATAAACATGCTGCTGTAACATAATCTAAGAAATAAAGAAAAGAAACTAACACAACACAACATGGTAGATGATACTTAGATCAGTGATGTGCCTGTAGACAATGTCAACGTAAACAATTGATTGTCTACGCGTAGACAATTCGAATTGTTTACGTGAGCATTTGTCTACACATTGTCTACATGCGGCGTAAACAATAACTTATTTTAAAAAATTCGAAAAAAAATATCAAAAGTTACTATATTATCACTATCACTTCGATATCAGCATTCACTGATTATTAAATATCAGGAAAACCAATAATAAAATAAAAAAAATTTAAAAAAAGGAAAGTGTGAGGTTAGAATTAAACGTCATTTATATTATTTTACATTGTTGACACGTTGTTAGGGATGGCAAATGATTTTAATATATCGATATATCGGTTTTATCGATATATCGAAATCCCTATATCGATTTATAAATTTATCGAAGTAAATATATCGATATAAACGATATATCGATATATTTTTTTAAATTAAAAAAGATATTAACATATGAAAAACTAAGAAGGAATTTTAGCTCATTAAAAAATAAAAACACATCCTGTGATTGAAAAAAAATATTTTAATCTTGAATAAATACCTAAGCTGAGTATCTACAATTTTTTTTTAGATTCAAAGCTATTTTCACTTTTTAAGGTTATGTAAGTCAAAAACTGTTATGTATATATATTTCATAATTATTAGTTATTACAAATATTAATATTATTAATCATATTTCATAGTCATGTGGAGTAACACAAAAAATTAATTTTCACAAATTGATTCTAGAAACAAAAGTTTGGATAATCTTTTGCCAGTTAAACGGCTGCGATTTTTTGTAGCTATTTGACCAGCTTTCGAAAACAATCTTTCACTAGGGACAGACGTTGCTAGAACACAGAGGTACTTCTGTGCCAACTTATAAAGTTGTGGATAAACTGCCTTCATCTCCTCCCAAACTTCTAAAGGGCTTTCTTTCAAATTTCGCACTGGTATGGACAAATATTGTGTCAGTTCGTCAGATTTTTGGCCTTTCTTACTTTTTTTTGAATGAGCAATATTTTTGTGGGGAGCCCATAAATCAAATGTTTGCTCAGATCCTTCTGTTTGCTCTGAAAGATCCGAAGAAGAAGAAGATGATGCATCCTCCTCTGCTTGTATTGGGATAGTCATTTCATGATTCAGATGTCGAATGATATTTGACAAAGCAATTGGGTCTTTAAAATGAATGTTTTTGAATCTTGGGTCTAAAATTGTAGTGGCAGCTAGTAAAAAGCATTTTTCTGTTGTCCCAAATCTTTTGTCTAGTTCTTTTAATATGGCAGTTTTCAAAGCTTCTGCAATATTGGAATTGGTTTGAAAATTTTCATATTGAGACACCAAACACTTTGTCATCGGTATTACTTTGCTTAGGGTAATGTACATCTGTCCACTCATTTCTTTTGTAGTTTGCTCCAATGGAAGCAGAAGCTGACAAACTTGTTTTATATCTTCAAGTTCTGCAGCATTTAACATATTGGGGGCATTAACATTAGATAATATGATGTTTCCAATAAGTGCAGCAAGCTTAATAAATCTTTCCAACATATAATAAGTTGAATTCCATCTGGTTTTAACATCTAAAATTGGTTTTAGAATATTACCTTCTGGAATTCCTCTATTTTTCTGCGCTTTTCGAAGCTCGTCGCTAGCATGCACACTACGCTTAAACCAAACTACAATGGTCCTAACTTTTTCAATTAGTTCATTCAAATGTCCAGTATTTTTTATGGATTGTTCACATACTAAGTTTATAGTGTGTGCAAAACATGGCACATGTTTTGTTTTGCCCAAGAAATCTTGGCAGGCTTTAACCATATTGGCTCCATTATCTGTCACAGCTGCTACAATACGATTAACATCAATGTTCCATTCATTGAAAGTATTACTTAGCTGGGTGGCAATATAAACTGAAGTATGTGATTCCGAGAGCTCAGTTACTCCTAATGTAGCAGAATGCATTTCATGGTTTTTAATAAAATGGATAGTTATCCCCATAAAACTTTTCGTTTGCATATCAGCTGTCCATATATCCGTGGTAAATGTAAAATGTTTTATATTTTGCAGTGTATTCTTAAAACCACCGGACACTATGTCATACTTCCTGTCAATATTGTCTTTGATACAATTTCGAGTCGGAACCTTGTACAGTGGCGCTAGCTCCTTCATTAGATTTAAAAAACCTTTCCTCTCAACTGTGTTGAATGGTAAATTATCTTGGACTATAAAATTGACAATGGCTTCAGTTATTTTGACGTTTTTGGATCCACCTTCTGCAAAAGTAATAATATGACATTTATGCATTTAACGTCCTAAAGACTAAGAAACTAAATTAAAGCTTAAAGTAGGTAGGTACCTGAGTAAGAAGCAACTTGACGAATGGCTTGATTTATGGTGGGTTGTCTACTTATAGTACTTATACTTGGCTCTCTCAAAATAGTTTCTGTGGATTTACTTCCTTGGTGGGAAA